GAACAGAAGGAAAACTTTTTGATTTCTTGATCCAAGAAATGCCTTGAATTTTGCATAGTTGCAGGAAACTCAATAGAAGTTGTTCCTGAATCCTCCAGAGGGCCTGGATGAAACTGACAGATTATAGCCAACAGAGGAAAAGGAAGTCTAGGATTTTTTTCCTCCATGACTCTATCATGTCTGATACAGAAGATAATTAGGAAAAGAGGTTTATAAGAGTTTTTTTCCCTTGTCATCTCTCAGGTCAGGGTCATATAGCCCTCCCTCAATTAGGCCATGCTTTACCAAATCCAAAGAAAGCTGAACAGCATTAATAAGAAAGATCTACCCTAACAGACAACAGAGAAAATTTTAGTTTATCTTTGGAAGGCAGCACCAACATTACAACAGTCCCAGGCACTTTTCTTCAGTGCTTTACATTTTTAATCCTCAGAAAAATTCTCAGATACTTAATCTTATTTTCCTTATCATATAATTGAGAAAATAAACACAAAGAGATTAAGTAACTCACCCCAAATTAGTCAGCAACTAGTAGCTTATCTGCTATTTAAACCCAAGCTGTCCAGTTGAGAGCTCATATTCTTTACCATTCTTTCCCTTGTCCTCCTCCATATATTAAGTCATAAAAATATTAATAGGTTAATTTTTTAAAGTTTACTTTGAGAGAGAGTGTGAGTGAGTGAGTGGGGGAGGGGCAGAGAAAGGGAGAGAGAGAATCCCAAGCAGGCTCCTCACTAACAGCACGGAGCCCAATGTGGGGCTTGAACCCACGAACTGTGAGATTGTGAAGGAGCCAAAATCAAGAGTTGGACACTCAGCCACCTGAGCTACCCAGGTGCCCCAATAGGTTTTTTGTTTTTTTTACTTAAACAAAAGGCAGAAGTATAACAAATAAATGTTATTTCTTCATTTGTTACTCACTAAGTTTAACCGATCCTTCCATCCCCAAAAGCACATTGTCACTTTTGATGTCTCTGTGGATCACTTGATTAGCATGTAAAAACTCCAATGCCTGTAAACACTAAACAAGAAAAACACGTATCAATGAAACAGTCCCTGAAAAGTCCAAAGGAAGTTCACACACAGTACTTATGGCCTGAGCATGACTTCAGAAGTCTAATCTAGCCACTGAAAAGTAGGTAAGATCCTGGGAGGTCTAGTTCCATCCAGCTGCTCACTGATGTGATGTAAGATGTTTTCTCCCATTTCTTTTACAGTGGATTTTACATAAAGCTATATCCACAACCTAGACACCAATGATAAAAGAATAACTTTCCTCTTATGCTATGTTTCAGAAAGCATGGAGTCAGAAGTGAGGAAAAACTTACTCCTTTCTTAAATACAGGAACATTAGAGTTTTAAAATCTGCTTGCCCCTATGTTTTTGAATATAAACTGAGTATAAATTATAAACATGGAAAAAGCTGTTTTTATTTCTTACCCCCCAAAGAGGAAAACAACAAATAAAGGATGTACATTATGAATAACAACTAAAAATCTCATTCAAAATATTCTACTATTCATTCAAGGAAAAACAGATAAATTGTGTAATACTGTATTACATTTACCAAGCATTTAAGCAGATTCTTGAAAAGAACAAATCCTCCCCATAACACTGGTACAAATGAATAGAAACAAATTTGTCCTTCATTTAACTGCTTTCTCTAAGTTGCCAATTAGAGGGACCCCTAAAATAATTTTTAAAACAATTATGAAAAGAAATTAGAGAAACAAATTATATATAAATAGGCAAATTCTTTTTTTTTTAAGTTTATTTATTTATTTTGAGAGAGAGAGTATGAGTGGGGTAAGGTCAGAGAGAGAGGAATAAACAGAATCCCAACTCAGGGCTTGAATCTACCCTAGGATCATGACCCGAGCTGAAATCAAAAGTCAGATGTTCAACCGAGCCATCCAGGTGCCCCATAAATAGATAAATTCTTAAGTTTTTATTAGCTTTTAAGTGATCAAACATTCTTTGTTAGAGATATCATATTATTGAAATATAATATTTATATTATAGAGTTCTTATTAAAGAGTTCTTATTTCCTTTCCTCCTGAAACAACCAAAGGCTTGGACTTATTGGGCAATTTGGCAGAATTCTATTGGCTGAAGCAACAGTATGTCTAAAAATTCATTAATGAATATCAAGAAACAATCAGTTTTTCACCTTCGATGAAATTTATAAAGCCAGAAGCAAACTTAACACTTAAGGTAAACATGTGTCTTGCTTTGCCTGAGACAGTCCATGTTTCTACTGTTGACTGGCCCTCCCTTGCACTCTTAAAAGTACCCTGTTTGGATGCTAAATTTTAATGATCACCCTGCTGAAATTTACCTGTGAGCTGGGCTCTTCAAAAAACCGTGCTCCATTTCAGAATTATCTTATACATAAGAAAGGGTTTAAACTCTCATGTAGGATAAAATGGTATGGAGACGCTTGCCGCTTGCAAAGAATAATGTACATGGAGTATTTCACGTAGTAAAAATTACCTGTGCAAAAAGCTCCTGCCCCCCCCCCCCTTTTTTTTTTACCTCCTGCTTAACCACACATTGCTGTAACTTATCCAAAAGGGGACACACTCACCTCTCTGCAAACAGCCGCAATCTGTGCTTCATCCATGCAGGTTTCTGTCACGACATCAGTAAGTGATCCCCCAGCAAGGTACTCCATTACCACAAACAATTCATCTCCCATCAGGTAGCTAAAATTATTATGAACACACAAAATACACTCACATTTTTATTTCACCACCACTCTGTGTTGAAGAATTCAAATGCCAGGCACCCTAATAACAAAACTAGAAAGTTGGAAGTTTTGAGAGCCAGGGAGAAAACTGGCAAGCTGAGAAAACAGCACAGAAAATTAACTGAGGGTCATTATGATTTTCCTGAGTGACTTGAAAGTTTGCCCCCAATTGTGACTTGAGTGTATACATAGATCATTCCAATTAAAATGACACTGTTTGGCAGTAATTATTAGTCCTGTTTTACAGATGAAGAGATGGAGGCTTGGAGAAGCTACTCATCTAAGTTCACATAGCTAGTAGGTGACAGAACTAGAATCTGAAGCCAAGTGTAACTAATTCCAAACCTTATGGCTTATCTTACCTGCCATGCTAGACTGACTTGAAACAGTATTTCCAAAAGCAGGGAAATATACCTGAGAAGTGGATTTTTATGAACATGTCCCCTATTACTAGGGCTGAAATCTAAAAATGTGTTATCTTTTCCCCAGTCTAAACAAACTTCAATATGGCACTAAGAAAGTCATCTATAATCCTCTATCTCCAATATAATCACTATTTTAATTTTTGTTTATTTTTCTATTATTCTTCTTTCATTCACATATATGTAATTGCATAATGGTACAATATATAATTTTCTATTCTGCTTTCTGTTCTGCTATTTAACATCAACTCCAAAATTAAATGAGGTTTTAACACACTATCTGCCCATGAAAGACAGCATTTAAAATAAAAACTGATGTAAGTTTAGAAACCATGTAGTCAGGCACCCGTTAGTCAACATATTAATCACAACTCATTCCATTAATGTTGCTGCTTGTGTTCATTTATAATTAATACAAGCACCAGCAGCAATGTCCTTCATTTAACTGCTTTCTCTAACTTGCCAAGTGAGATATATGTAGAAAAAGGCCTGCTAAACTACAATGTGTTATTTTTTACCTCTCCTCCTCCTTCAAGCTTACTTTTCAACACTGACATTCTACTCAGTCTTAACTCAAGGGGCTAGCCCCCAACACCAGAAGACTTGAAATACTCATATTTACCTGTCTAAGAAATTAACTATGTTGGGATTCTTCAATTCTTTCATCACTAGAATTTCATTAATGATTAATTCCTTCTTTGGCTGTTTCTGTAAATTAATCTGTTTAATAGCAACCTATGATGGAAAGAGAAACAAGAAAAATCAGAACAAGTTTTCTAATTCTCTTAGAAAATTACAAACACCAATCAGGTAATAATTTAATTTACTGTGTATCCATTATATTATCAGTGAGCTTACTCACAGGTAGTACTTTTACTTCCACACTGGCAATGCACAATGCTCTGTAATACACAGAACCTAACTACTTTTGTATTTTCTCTAAACCTGATTAATCAGCCCAAGGTCATACCAATGCCAGGAATGAATCCTCTTTTCTTTCCAAGCTGGGAAAATAATTTTTAAAATATTTGCTCCTTTATGAAACTCAATGCATAATTCCTTCTTTTTTTCCCTATTAAGAAAAGTGCTACAAAATTACATAAAGTAATTCTTCCAATATATTCAACTGAAAAAAAGATTCCTACTGATTATTCACAGATGTGTCTAGTTTCTTCCTACACTAAAAGCTAATTGTAACACCCAAAGTATGAAAAAGAAACTACCTCCTGTCCCAATGCCACATCAGTAGCAGTGAAAACTGTACCAGAAGCCCTAGGGGGGAAAAAGACACAACCAGATTTAAGGTTTCTAAATCACTGTCATTTATATATCTAAAAACTTTATACTCAGAACAATTACAAAAGGATTAAAGTACACTTAAGACTTAAACATCTTTTATTTATCTGTTTATTTTGAGAGAGGGAGAGAGCGCACACACACTAACATAAGTGAGCACGAGCCGGGGAGGGGCAGAGGGGGAGAGAGAGAGGATCCCAAGCAGGCTCCGTGCTGTCAGTGAAGAGCCCGAACAGGCTCAACCCCATGACCATAAGATCATGACCTGAGCTCATGACCTGAGAGTAGGACGTTTAACCAACTGAGCCACCCATGCACCCCAAGATTTAACATGTTTATTTTTTATTTATTTTTAAAAAAAATTTTTTAACGTTTAGTTTTGAGACAGAGAGAGACAGAGCATGAACGGGGGAGGGTCAGAGAGAGAGGGAGACACAGAATCTGAAACAGGCTCCAAGCTCTGAGCAGTCCGCACAGAGCCTGACGCGGGGCTCGAATTCACGGACCGCGAGATCGTGACCTGAGCCGAAGTCGGACGCTTAACCGACTGAGCCACCCAGGCGCCCCTAGACTTAACATGTTTAAACAGGAGTAAAAGCAAAACAAGAGGGGGAAAAATAAGAAAAAGGTAATCCCTGTGGCCAAAACTTATGTTAGAAATTTGTCATAAAAAGAAAGATAAAAGTGATAGATACTCATGGATCCATTTCCCTGCTTACGAAACAAAAAAACTACAAATAAATTTGTAATGTCCTTGTGTGCACTTTACAAAGGCATCCTCCTTTCTCCCAAAAGTAGTCTGTATTTGATGTGTACCATTTCCAAGCACATTCCTACACTTTAATTATAAAGGACATAGGTGTGTATCACTATAAAATACATTTAACATAGTTTTTAAATTTCTTATTAAGGGTTTCATTTATAGATTTTTCTGCAATTTTTTAAAAATTTTTTAAATGTTTATTTTTGAGGGAGAGTAAGAGCATGAGCAGGGGAGGGACAGAGAGAGAGGGAGGGAGAGGATCCAGAGCAGGCTCTGCACTAGCTAATAGCAGAGTTGCCTGGTGGGGAGCTCAAACTCACAAACTGTGAGATCATAATGTAAGCTGAAATTGGACGCTTAACCAACTGAGCCCCCATGGTGCCCCATGTGATTTAACGTTAATTCAACATTGGATTTGGGATAGGTGTTATTCATTCATAATAATAATTATTTATATTATTCAATATAATTTATCCATTATCATGCTCAAGAATATTAAGATGATTTTCAATTTTTGTTATTAAACCAGTGATGCAACTAAATTTAGTTGTGTTTGTTAAAATAATTTAGACAGAGAGTATAAGCAGGGGAGAAGGGCAGAAGGAGACAGCGAATCTTAAGTAGGCTCCACGTTTAGTGAAGAGCCCGACATGGGGCTTGATCCCACTACTCTGGGATCATGCCCCTAAATTTAGCTTTTCTTTTTTTTTAAGTTTATTTATTCTGAGAGAGAGACACAGAGAGAGACAGAGAGAGAGAGAGAGAGAGAATGTGTGCACACAAGTGGGGGAGGGGAAGGGGAAGAGAAAGAAGGAGAGAGAGAATCCCAAGCAGGCTTCCAGCTATCGGTGCAGAGCCCCATGAAGGGCTGGAACCCACAAACCCTGAGATCATGACCCGAGTTAACATCAAGTCACTCACTCAACCAACTGAACCACCCAGGCACCACTTAAATTTAACTTTTAAAAAGAAATTCATATATACAAACAGATTCATAAGTAAGTTTTCAAAAAAGACTTAAGTTCTCTTTCTAAATTCACAGAATACTTTTCCAGTGATTAATAACATTAAAAATTGAAGATGGTTGGGGCACCTGGGTAGCTCAGTTGGTTAAGCATCTGACTTCCACTCAGGTCATGACCTCACAGTTCGTGAGTTTGAGCCCCATATTGAGCTCTGTGCTGACAGCTCAGAGCCTGGAGCCTGCTTCAGATTTTGTGTCTCCCTCTCTCTCTGCCCTTCCCCCACTCATGCACACACACTCTCTCTCTCAAAAAATAAACATTAAAAAAAATTAAAAATTTAAGATGGTCATTTGCTCCCAAGCAACAGAAAAAAAGTGTAGTTTAAACAAAATTTTTTTTGGCATTTATTTTTGAGAGAGACTGTGAGCAAGTGGGGGAGGGGCAGAGAGAGAGAGAGGGAGATACAGAATCCAAAACAGCTCCAAGGCTCTGAGCTGTCAGCACACAGCCTGATGTAGGGCTGGAACCCACGGACCGCAAGATCATGATGAACCGAGCCAAAGTCGGTGCTCAACCGACTGAGGAGTCCCAAGTATAGTTTAAAAATACAACTTACTGGGGGCGGCTGGGTGGCTCAGCCAGTTAAGCGCCAGCCTTCAGCTCAGGTCATGATCTCACAGTTTGTGGGTTTGAGCCTGGCATTGGGCTCTGTGCTGACAGCTCAGAGCCTGGAGCCTGCTTCGGATTCTGTCTTCCTCTCCCTCTGCCCCTCCCCCGCTTATGCTCTCTTTCAAAAATAAACATTAAAAAAAATGTAAAAATGACAAATTACTGGACAAAATCAGGGTATCAGACTCAAAAACCAATATTCAGTGATGTGATTAAATACATGCTTTTATTGCTTATAATCTTGTAGTAAATGTTCTTATTATCTTTTAAATGTATTTGATGGGCAGGGCAATTTCCCCATCTAATCTCTTAACAACCAATGGGAAATAACATTCAAGAAAAAGCAATGTAAGATTATTGCTAAACGGCACAAGTTTTTAGTAGCATGTAGAAATAAATGCACTACTTACAAGAATACCACTCACAGAATACTGTAAGTGTTCAATGTCAACAGGCAAAAAAAAAGAGGTATCATACTGTATACCCAAGAATTATTAAATATTGTATAATATATTCATGAATACTTACCCTTGCCCAATTTTTTCATATCTTGTGTATTTTTTCTTAGGGTCACCTATGCTCACAATAGTTCCTATTTTAAACAAAAAACAAACAAAACACTGGAAACTCAGTCAAGTATTTTAAATTTGTAAACTAATTCCACCATTATTCCTAATAAACTCTACTGATTTTAGAACATTAGCTTTCAAACATAACACTAAATTTTAAAAATAATGTATGTTTCAAAAGCAAAACACTAATGAAACTTATCAGAAGCAAGAACATATTATTTACATTAGGTTGGACCTCCTAACCAATGTCTTAATTATCCTATCACTTTCTCAAAAATAAACACATTTAAAATGACCAACCGTGTTAGTCTGCCTAAGAATGTAAGAGGTTTTCAGGATGTGGGAGATTCAGTCTTAATTGGAAAATTCTTGGGTAAAGATGAGTATCCTTTAATACACTGAAATGTATTAAACTAATGATAAGTTATGAAACTACTTACTATCAGAAATAATACATAAATGATATCCAAGTGAATAAACCTAAATGGCTTTTCTGACTCTTCCCATATATCTTCTACCTTCTAATATATTTAGAAAGCCACTTATTACTATAAAGATTACTTTAGTATGAACTAATCATATATCTGTTTTAGGAAGGTTCACAAAGTCACAACTAATGAACAGTTTTAAAATCAGGATTTGGATATAAAACTATAATTTATATTCTTACTATCATTAAGTCAAAACATGAGAAAACCACACAAAGTCTTCACTTGCTTAAGGTAAAAGGAGATAGGATCATATCAAGGAAACTCACACAAATAATCCAATTTTATATAGGTACCCAATCTTAGGTCTAGAGCTACCATAGCTGTAGTATTTTTCCTTGATCCCTCTCTATATAAAGTGCTCTTTATAACTACAGCTGTTGTACACATGTGACCAGACATTACTGCTACCCTCTCCCTGGCACTGTGTACATTATTTCCAATGGTTGATTCAGGCCAATGGCAGCTGATGGATTTAAAGGGAGAAGAGAAAAAAATATATTTAATGTTTACACATATATCTATACAGGAATGCCATATTGTTTAGTTATTTGGGAACATTTTGTATTTTCATACTGAGAAGCTAGAAGTATGCATAAACATAGACAAATTTCTTTCAATAAGGTCTCTAATCATGAGCCTTAGATTTGGCCCTTTGGGAAAAAGTACTGCTCCCAAAGGTACTGACCATTGCAAAGACATTACTCAATAGTCAACACATAATAAACAAGCAAATTAGAGTATGACTGGCTTCAGGAGATTTTAATTAAAGCTACTGTTCCTAGAAGAAAACTATTTTTTATGTCTTAAGCCAAAATATAAGGTATAAATTAAAACCCATCTGAGCCAAATGTTTCAAGAACTATTAGCAATTTAAGAATAATGTAAAATGTAGGTAACATACTTAATTTCTCCATAATCTCTTCATCTGTCATTTTGGTCTTCTTTTTCTGTTTGTCAGAAGACTTGGCACCACTATCAACATTAGAATCACCAACTGGTGCAGGAATAGGGTCAATTACAGACCGTGTATAAATCTGCAGAGAGAGTCAATAACGGAGATCTGAGGAAAAATACTTTTAGGTATTCTTACTGGCACACTATTCAGTTCTTTGACTTAAGATACATTTTTTGTTTGTTTTTATTTTATTTTCATTTTAGAGACAGTGAGAAAGCATTCACAAGCAAGCAAGGGAGAGGGGCAGGGGGAGAGAGAACCTTAAGCAGGCTCCAGCATGGAGCCCAATGCAAGATCGTAACCTGAGCCAAAATCCAGTCGGTTGCTCAGCTGACTGAGCCACCCAGGTGCCCCTCAATTCTTTGATTTCTAACCAAAACTAATTTTCTCCAGTTGTTCTAAACAATGAGAATATTTTCAGATTTGTCTTAGTAACTACTAATTCTCACAAAAACTTTTACCCAAAGATGATTTCTACTATTTCATTTTAAGCAGCCAATTCTAGGAGGTCAACAAAGAAATCAGAGGCCGGGGCGCCTGGGTGGCGCAGTCGGTTAAGCGTCCG